ATTGAAGCGGAGACAGCCAGGAAAAGGAGAGTGGGCAGAGAGACAGAGAGAGAGAGAGAGAGGAGAGCAGAGAGAGAGACAGACAGACGGAAAGACAGACGGAGGGACAGAGGGAAAGATTGGAGGAAGAGCCTCAAAAAGCCGGAGCCTCCCCTGCCTCCTCCCTCCGTCCCCGCCGGCATCCTCCCCCAATCAATTTCTCTCCCAGACATTCTTAATTCTCCCTTCCCAACATCTCGTCTCTTTCTTTAATTGAGAAGATTTATGCTTCAGAGTCCAAGCCCGCTGCGCTTGTTTGGGGGGTGGCAGGGACGACTCCGGGGTCTCTATTGGAGCTCCTGTCCCCCACTCCCTCCCCCTCCTGTCTGTCTCGCTCTGTCTGCACCTCTCTCTCTCCCCGCACCCCCGTCTGTCTCTGTCTCTCTCTTTCTCTGTTTGCCTTTCTCTGAATCACACCCGTCATTGGAATTACCTCCCTCCCCACCCCAGTTAAGCCCCGTCGCCATCCCAGGTGCCCGTTCCCTCCCTTCCTGCTCTGTCCACGCCCCCGCACCACTGGCCATCAGATGAGGCCGCACCTGCTCCTCTAGGTTTCAGAATCAGCCTGGGCTAAGGGGACCTTAGCATGCACCCCCACCACAAAAGCAAATAGAGGCAGGGACTCACTCCTAACCCTTGCATCCCTCACCCCAAGTCTTGGCTGAGGGCGAGGTGGGGGTGGGGCAGACCAAACAGCTTTGTGTCTTTAATTAAAAAGTGATTTAAATTAATTTTCTGCTCCAAAACCCCTATCTGGGGTGCGCCGGCCTTGATGAAGGGAAAGGCCTCCAGACCCCTTCCCCTCCGACTGCCTTAAAGGGCCAGCCTCACCACAGGACAGTCACGGGGGGCAGAGCCCGCCGGCATGGGGACCCCCAGACTCAGCTAAGACCCTGAGTCCTGGCACCCTCTAGCTTAACTGTTTCTCCATTATCCACAATCCCCCGCCCCCAGCGCGCATTGCCCATCCTGCCGAGGGGGGATCGAGGCTCAGAGAGGGGAGAGTCTACCGTAGGACCAGACTCCAGATTCCCAGGTGACCCCTGGAGATGGCCAGGGAGGGGGTCCGTGGTGTGTCCGGGGGGCTCGGAGAACAGAGAGCCGGAGAGAGAAAGGACGGGAGAAGGGGAGAGAGACAAGGAGACAGAGACTGGGAGAGAGGGAGACTGAGCAGGAACCCCAGCCCTGGGTAGGAGAGGAGGGACCTGGGGCCACCAGGGCCGCAGTCTCTTCCTCTCCTCCCTCCACAGCCTGCCCCTTCCCCACTCCCACCGGGAAGTCCTGCTGCTGCCCTAACCCCAATCCCTCATGCTGTAGCTCACCCTGGCTCACCCCCTATCCTGCTCCTTGGTGGTTCTGTTTAATTTCCATAAGACAGGAGGGCAGAGAAGCAGGTGGCAGCAGAGGTAGCACTGTTGATGACAGTCTTGAACTATGTCCTTGGAGGGCTGCCTCCAGCCCTCTCTCAAGGTCTCTATTTCCTTCTGTCTCTGGGTCTCTATCCCTCTCTCTCTGGGTCTGTCCCCCTCTCTCTAGGTCTGTCCCCCTCTCTCTGGATCTGTCCCCCTCTATCTCTACATCTCTGTACCCCCACCCCCATCAGGGTCCTTGTCCTCCGCTCCCGCATCCCTGTCCCCTTCTCTCTGGATCTCTGTCCCATTCTTTGGCGCTATTCCTCTGGGGTGACTTTCAGGATTTTGTGGGGGGTCAAGTGTCCTTCTGTGAGAATGGGATAAAAACTATGGGCCACTTCCCTGGGGGAAAAACACAGAGGCACCCAGTCCACAATTTCCCAGGGAACTTTCCCCTGGGTTCACAGGTCTCCTGACAGCCACCTGCACACCCCCGCGGGAAGCTGAAGACACCAGGGACTAAAGACCCCCAATGTAAAAGATGCCACGGGGAGAATGAATCCAGGGGTCGCCACCAGCCCCCTCGCCCCCTCCCTCAATCGCCTCTTAGATGTTTCCTGGACACACCAAGCACCTTCTGCTCCCCCGACTTTTCCAGGCTTTGCACCTGCAATTCCCCCTGCCCAGAATGCTCTCCCCAGGTGTGTGCACAGCTCAGATGTCCCCGCCTCTGAGGGCTGTCCCTGTCCAGCCTACAGAAGCCGCCCTCCCCACACCATTCTTACACAGCTTAGTTTGGGAGCACTGGCCATCTCCAGGCACTAGTTAATATTTATGCATCCATTTACTCGACTACCCTCCCTTCCTACCCATCCCCAGGGAAAAGTGAGTGCCATAAGACCAAGAAGTTTGCCTTTTGTTCCCTGCTATGTCCCCAGAACGCCACCTGGCAAGTAGTAGTAGTAGAAGTTGCTGCTGCATGAATCTTTTTCTTGATCTCAGAACCTCGGGTTGAAAGCTCGCCTTAGGAATCCGATGAAAGCCGCGGACTTGCCCTCCAACACCTTGTGTGGGGGCCCAGGGTTTACCCCACAGACTGCAGGTTCCAGGGACTCCCTGAGAGCAGCTGAGAGGGCTGCAGGCTCAAGACAGGGGCCCAAGACGGCAGAGGGGCCTCCAGTACCCACCACATCCAGAGACAGAAACAACACGCATAGTCACTCCTACACACCACACACATAACACACACACACCACACAGGTATGCACACACACACCACACACACCCCACACACAAAAAACACCACACACCACACGCACACCACACAGGTATGCACACACACCCCACACACCACACACACAAAACACCATATACCACACAGGTACGCACACACACCACACACACCACACAGGTATGCACACACATGCCACACACACACCACATGCCACACACACACCACACACACAAAACACACACACCACACACCACACACCACACAGGTACGCACACACACATGCCACACACACACAAAACACACACCATACAGACCACACACACCACACATGCAAAACACACACCACACACAAAAACACACACCACACAGGTACACACACACACACAGGTACTCACACAAACACAAGTATGCACACATACAGGTACACACAACATGAGTACGCACACACACACCACACACACACAAAACACACACCACACATGCACACACCACACACACCACCCAAAACATACACACATCACACACATGCACACACCACACACACAAAAGCACACCACACATACAAAACACACCACACACACAGATGCACACACCACATACACACCACACACACGCACACACCACACACGCACACACCACACACGCACACCACACATGCACATCACACACCACACACAGACACACCACACATAAAACACAGACACAAAATACACCACACACACAAAACACACCACACACAGGCACATACACACAACACACAATGCACACACACATGCAAGCACACACACACACAGGCGCAGGCACAGGGGCCCCTGTCTCCTAGAGGAGGGAGGGAAAGGGGTGAGGGCAAGAAGAGAAACTAAAATCTAAGCGCTGGCTTCCTTCCGGCCTCCTGTCCTCTCCTCTGATTCCGTCCCATAGGAGAGAGGTGGGGAAAGGGAGAAAGAAACAGAGAGAGAGGTGAGGGGGGACAGAGACAGAGAGAGGTGAAGGGGAGAGAAACAGAGCGAGTGGGAGTGGGGGGTAGAGAAACAGAGGGAGAGAGGTGAGGGAGATAGGTAAGGGGGGAGACAGAGAAACGGAGAGAGAGATGGAGGAGAGGAAGAGACACACAGAGAGACGGGGAGGGGGGTAGAGGTGGGAGGAGAGAGAAACAAAAAAACAGAGAAACAGAGGTGAGGGGGAGGAGAGAGACAGAGGGAGAGAGGTGAGGGGGAGAGAAACAGAAAATGGGAGGTGGAGGGGAGAGAGACAGCGAAGAGAGAGAAACAGAGGGAGAGAGAGAGGTGGGGGGAGAGACAGGAGAGAGAGGTAAGCGGGGAGAGAGAGAAACAGAGGGAGAGAGGTTGGGGGTTGAGGGAGAGACAGAAACAGAGGGGGAGAGAGGCGGGAAGAGGTGGGAGGAGAAACAGAAAAAACAGAGAGAAAATGAGAGAGAAAAGAGACAGGGTGGGGGGGGAGAGACAGAGACAGAGGTGGGGGAGAACTCGAGACAGAGGCGGGTGGCTGCCGGCAAGGGGAGAGGGAGACCCGGAGCGGGGTGGGGGGAGAGCGACCCGGAGCGAGCGCGGCGGGCGGGGCGGGGGCCGAGGAGGACGCGTCCCAGGGCGACTCCGATACAAAAGCCGCCGTGGGTATGATGCGCCGTCGCCGGGCGGGCGTGGTCGTTCTTTGCGCGGGCATGGGGATGGGGAGGGAGTGGAGCGAGGAGGGAGAGGGAGGGGAGTTGAGAGGACGGGACGCCGCAGCCCCAGCCCCGCCCCGCCCCGCCCGGCCGCGCCGGCGGACAGTGGGTTAAGCATCTCCGCCGTGGAACTTCCGGATGTGACCACAGAGAGGGAGAGACCGGGAACGGGGAGCGCGGCCGCCAGCACCCCCGAGCCGCCGCCGGAGCCCCCGCCGCCCCGGGCTGCCCCCAGCCCCTCGCGGTCCCCGGTCTGTCCGTCTTGGGACAGTTCGATTCCCTCCGGAGCCCGGGGAGGGACGGGGGGGCCCAGGGGAGGGGGCCTCGGGCGCCCCGCCCGCGCCTGCTGCCCCCGCCCCAGCGGCGATGCGCTCCTGGCCGTGACCCCCGCTGGGGGCGGGGGCCGGGGTCCATGCGCGGAGTCCCGACCCGGCCCGGCGCCTGCCGCTGACGGCGGCGGGGGTGGGGGAGCGCGCGCCCGGCCTCCTGCCCACCCCCTGGCGTCGACACTGCGGGCCGTCTGGGGCTGCGGCCCGGGGCTGCGCCCTCCCCCGCGGCCAGGCTCTGGAGGGACCCGGGAGCTGCCGCCGGCCTCAGCCCATGGCCCGGAGGGTAGGTCTCAGGGCGGGGACCCCGCGCCCCGGCCGCTTCCGCACCCCCCGTCCCTGCATCCCTCCTCTCCGGCGCTGGCCCCACATCAGCCCATCCGTCCTCTCCACCACCTCTCTCTTGCCCCTCCCTCCGCCCCTGGGTCTCCCAGTCCCTCTGTGCTCCCTCTCTGCCCCCAGGTGTCCCCTCTTCCTGCCCCTGGGCCTCGCCTCCTCCCCACCGTTTAGCTTCTTCTCCCTGCCCCAGTCTCTCCCTACCTCTCTGTCCCCCTCTGTCTGCCCCAGTCTCCCCCTCCTTTCTGCCTCTCTGTCCCCCTCTCTCTGCCCCGGGTCTCCCCCCTCTTTCTGCCTGTCTGTCCCCCTCTCTCTGCCCCGGGTCTCCCCTTCCTTTCTGCCTGTCTGTCCCCCTCTCTCTGCCCCGGGTCTCCCCCCTCTTTCTGCCTCTCTGTCCCCCTCTCTCTGCCCCCGAGTCTCTCTGCTCTCTGTCCCTGGGCTTCCTCCTCCATCTCAGCCGCCTCCACCTCACCGTCCCCCTCCTTTTCTGCCCTCCTCCGTCCTTCTCTTCGCTCTACTTTTGTTCCAAGCCTCCCCTGCCTCTCCAGGGCTAGGAGTAGGACAGGGGTGGGAGGGGCGGTCTCACCAGGCTGCTGGCCCCAGGGAGCCTCTCTCCCTGGGGATGGGAACGGGCATAGGAGAGGGGGGAGGAGGTGCGCCTCCGCTTTGGGGGTTCTGAGTGGGCTGTGGGGACCGAGTTTGGTGAGTGTGCCATGAGCAGCGGGGAGCAGTTGGATTCAACTTCAGGGCACAGGAGAAGTTAGGAGAAGAGGAAGAGGGAGAGAGTGGGACACGCAGAGCCAGGGTGCCCAGCCAGGCGAGGGTCGGAGGCAGCAACGTTCTAGCCTCTTCCCAGGGGAGTCCTGCTGCCTCTTTGAGCCTCTGTGTCTTCATCACTGAGGGATTTGACCTGACCTAGTGAAAGGTGCCCCAGGCTCCCCAGGCGCATGGTTCTGTGATGACGGGATGCGAACATCCCACCCCATAATGGTGTTTTTCTTGGGTGCGAAAGTGTGTCTCTGTGGTGGTGCCTAGTGACCCTCTCCAGCAACAAGTGCTCACAGCGTGAGCCAGGCCCTGTGCTAAATGCCTCGTTCATTCATTCATTCGTTCATGTGCTAAATGTCTCAATCATGCATTCATTCCTGTGCCTGGTGTTGGGCTGTGTGTGTGTGTGTGTGCGCGCGCGCATGTGTGTGGGGGGGTTGGGTGTGACTGACACACGAGCGTGCACGTGGGTTGGTGTGTATGGCTGTGTCTCCGTGTGTGGTGGATTCACGTGGTGAGTGGGGTGTGACATGTTGTTGAGACTTACTCTAAATGTGCATATCTACCAACTGTGAAATGGAATAGAAGACGGGGAGGCTTCGTGTGTGTACTTTGTGTACAACAATGCGCGGTTCCTGCAGGAGGTGTCCATGGATTTCCCTCTCTGTCTGTCTCTCTCTGTCTCTGTCTCTTATCTCTGTCTCTGTCTCCATCTCTGTCTCTGTCTCCATCTCTGTCTCTGTCTCCGTCTCTGTCTCTGTCTCCGTCTTCTCACGCCACTCTCTCCATCTCTCTTCCCTCCCAGCCAGACCCTGCCGTCTCTCCCTCTGGGTCCTCCTGCCCGCATGTCAGGAATCTCTGCCTGGACGGGGTCCTCACTCCCACCCAGACAGCTCCGGGGGACCTGGAAGGCTCAAAGGGGCAGGGCTTAGACACTTGGGGACCAGAAACAGGTTTCTGGGACACAGAGAGGCATCTCCTGGGTTCCAGGATAGAGAAGCTCCTCAGCTGAGTCTCGGGGTGCTGACCCCTCCCTGGGGCTCCCCCTTCTCTTCTCACCTTCGCCCAGTACGATGAGCTGCCGCACTACCCAGGCATCGCGGATGGCCCCGCAACCCTGGCTGGCTTCCCAGAGGCAGTGCCCGCGGCACCAGGGCCCTACGGCCCACACCGGCCTCCCCAGCTGCTGCCCCCAGGCTTGGACAGTGACGGCCTGAAGAGGGAGAAGGATGAGATCTATGGGTGAGTGGGGGCCGGTCTCAGGCTCCTGTCTCTCTCTCTGTCTTCTGTTTCTTTGCTCCCTGGGTCTGTTTCCGTCTCTGTGTATGAGTCACTGTCTCTCTGGGTCTCTTGTCCCCTTCCCAGCTGTTCTGCACCTTGCAGCCCCTCCATTCACCCCCCCAGCCTCTCCCTCGACCTCTCTCCTTTCCTGCCTCCCCAGACACCCGCTCTTCCCCCTCTTGGCCCTGGTCTTTGAGAAATGTGAACTGGCTACATGCTCTCCCCGTGATGGGGCTGGAGCTGGGCTGCGGACACCCCCCGGCGGCGACGTCTGCTCCTCTGATTCCTTCAACGAGGACATCGCTGCTTTCGCCAAGCAGGTGGGCACCCCCCACCCGCCAAGCACCGCACCGGAGAGCCAGCGAGGAGGGTTGGGTGAAAGGTGGGACATCCCCTGCCGGCTTCTCTCTTCCCTCCCAGGTTCGCTCTGAGAGGCCCCTCTTCTCCTCCAACCCAGAACTGGACAATCTGGTGAGACCCAAGCTCTCCCCCACACTCCCTCCTACGATGGGTGTCCTGTCCTGACTCCCCATCCCTGGGGTTGGTTGAGGGGGTGCAGAGAGGAGGCCACCTGGTCCATGTTCCCAAATGGGCATGATTGTTGCCCACATGCCATGTGGTACAGCCTAGAATCTGAGAACGGGACCCATGGCCCGAGTTCAAATCCCAGCTCTGCCACTCACCAGCTGTGTGACCCAGGGCAAGTCACTCTGCGTCTCTGTGCCTGGCGTCCCATCTGTGACGTGTGGCTGGTAGTAATTTCTGTCTTGGAGGGCTGCTGTGGGGATTTAATGAGTGAATGCAAGTCAAGTGCATGGGACAGCACCTGGCACAGAATAGGGCTGAAAAAGTGTCTGATGTTCTATCCGTCAGAAGAATAGTACCCATGCCAAAGTGAGCGCAGGGACTGCTTCCCAAGGAGAGGAGGCTGGGTGCGGCAGCTCACACCTGTAATCCCAGCACTTTGGGAGACCAAGGCCAGGAGATAGCTTGAGGCCAGGGATCAAGACCAGCCTGGGCAATGTAGTGACACCCCATCTCTACAAAAACATTTAATTAGCAGGGTGTGGTGGCACACACCTGTGGTCTCAGCTACTTGGGAGGCTGAGGCGGGAGGATCACTCGAGCCCCAAGAAGTCGAGGCTGCAGTAACCCTTGATCAGCTCCACTGCACACCAGCCTGGGCAACAGGGCAAGACCCTGTCTCTCATAGATAGCTAGAAAAAGAGAAAGAGGCCAGTCGCCGTGGCTCACACCTGTAATCCCAGCACTTTGGGAGGCTGAGATGGACAGATCATGAGATCAGGAGATCGAGACCATCCTGGTTAACACGGCGAAACCACGTCTCTACTAAAAATACCAAAAAATTATCCGGCCGTGGTGGTGGGCACCTGTAGTCCCAGCTACTCTGGAGGTTGAGGCGGGAGAATGGTGTGAACCCGGGAGGCGGAGCTTACAGTGAACCGAGATCGTGCCACTGCACTCCAGCCTGGGCGACAGAGCGAGACTGTCTCAAAAAAAAAAGAAAAGAAAAAAGAGAAGAGAAAGGAAAACAAAGGGAGGGAGGGAAGGAGAGAGGGAGGGAGGGAGAGAGGGAAGGAGGGAGGGAGGGAAGGAAGGAAGGAAGGGAGGGAGGAAGGGCTGGGTGCAGTGGCTCATGCTTGTAATCCTAGCACTTTGGGAGGCCAAGGCCAGCAGATCACAAGGTCAGGAGTTCGAAACCAGCCTGACCAACCTGGTGAAACCCCCTGTCTACTAAAAATACAAAAATTAGCTGGGCGTGGTGCACTCGCCTGTAGTCCCAACTACTCGGGAGGCTGAGGCAGGAGAATCGCTTGAACCCGGGAGGCAGAGGTTGCAGTGAGCCGAGATCCTGCCACTGTACTGCAGCCTGGGCAACAGAGCAAGACTCTGTGTCAAACAAACAAAGAAAGAAAAATAAAGAAAGAAGGAAAGGAAGAAAAGAAAAAAGAAAGAGAAGAGGCCGGGCACGGTGGCTCACGCCTGTAATCCCAGCACTTTGGGAGGCCGAGGCAAGTGGATCACCTGAGGTCGGGAGTTTGAGACCAGCCTGGCCAACATGGTGAAACTCTGTCTCTACTAAAAGTACAAAAATTAGCTGGGCACAGTGGTGCGTGCCTGTAGTCCCAGCTACTCAGGAGACTGAGGCAGGAGAATCACTTGAACCTGGGAGGCGGAGGTTGCAGTGAGCCGAGATCACGCCACTGCACTCCAGCCTGGCGACAGAGTAAGACTCCATATCAAAAAAGAAAGAGAAAAAAGAAGATAGAGAAGAAAGGAGGGAGAAATACCCCAGCTTCTCCCATCCTTTGCTCCCCAAGCTCTTGCCAGGGCTTCCTATTGGCCAAACCCTTTGGCAAGGGGCTCTGGGAAATGTCGTTTGCAGGTGGGCGGGGCCTGGAGCTGGGGGCCAACAGGCAGAGGGTGGGAATGCCGGTCTGAACGGCTCACCTTAGCTCTCCCGCTTTGTGATAGGCTCCTTTTCGTCTCTTGCTACTCTTGTCTCTACCTCTGAATCTAACACCCACTCTTTCCTTAATTCTGCACTGCATCTCTGTTCTCTCTCTCCCCCTCTGCGCCTGGTGTCTTTGTCGCCCTGTCCCTGTCATTTTATCTCACTCTTTCGGTTTCTCTGTCTCTCCTCTCTTCCTCCTTCTTTGCCTCTTCCTTCTTCCTCCCTTCTCCCTCCCCCGATTCCCTCTGTCTTCCCCCACCTCCTGTCCCGCGTTTTCAGATGATCCAGGCCATCCAAGTGCTGCGATTCCACCTGCTGGAGCTGGAGAAGGTGAGTGCGTCTCACCCCCCAACAGCCTCACTTGCCCACCTCATCCCACCCCCTCTCGTCGCCTCTGCCCCCCACCTTCCAGCTCTCTCCCCACTGGAGTTGAAGCAGAATGCCACCCCCGTCCCTGTGCACCCCAGCCCTGCCCCCCCGGGTGGCCCCCCCAGTACCCCGGTGCCCCCCCAGGTCCACGACCTGTGCGACAACTTCTGTCACCGCTACATCACCTGCCTCAAGGGAAAGATGCCCATCGACCTAGTCATCGAAGATCGGGACGGCGGCTGCAGGGAGGACTTCGAGGACTACCCAGCCTCCTGCCCCAGCCTCCCAGACCAGGTGGGCCTGGGACGGGCACCAGGCATATCGCCCTGCAGCCACAGCTGTGCCTGGGTACTGCATGAAGGCGTATGCACACTACACAGCCTCAGATGCAGCCACAGTCAGCCTGATGACGGGGCACGCATATGCACACAGCCACATACCCACTACACAACAGCTGTGCAGACTCGGATGCGGCTGGGCAACGGTGCACACACGTGCACACCAGCAGCTGCAGATGCCACCCACAGACTCAGCTACACCCACACAGGTCCACACACAGCCACACCAACTCAGCAACAGCCATTTCTGCTCACAGCTGGACAGTAGCATCCACCATGTACTCACACACACCCCCCCAGCCATACGACAGCAGCACAGAACACACAGCCGGGTTCTGCACGCCGTTCTCAATTGTGTGTGTGTCTACCACATATGCACCCCCGCTCCAGCCACACGAAACAGCCACACAGGTGGACATAGAGCCCAACAGCCCGAGGTACTGCCTGGCAAACTCAGATATAACCACGCTTGGGCCCGGACTGACCACGGTGCCCTCTTGCACACACGTGACCCTGGTCACATAACAGTCGGGCTGCAGCCGAGATGGCGCACACACACCACTCACAGCCACATGGCCCCAGACTCATCCACACAGACTTGGAAATAGACTCAACAGGCTCAGATGGGGCCACAAAGAAACCCAAAGAAGCAACTCAATAAGGTGGCACCATCTCAGATGCAGCCTCACTACAGTTTTATCCACTTAGGACACCAGACGGCAAACACGCACAGCACAGCACAGCCGTGTGGATCCCGACTCGCCACGGCTATGTACAGAGTAGAGGGGCGAAGCCTTGAGGAAAAGTCACATGAGAGCCACACCCAGGCAATCCTACTGTCAACACACCTGGCAATGACATGTTTACAGCACACGCACACCCACTCCACACCGCCTCAGATACACTCACATGACAACCACCCCACAGCCAGACGCACCCAGACACAGTCCCGGAGCCTTTTTTTTTTTTTTTAATGGAGTCTCAGTTTGTCAGTCAGACTGGAGTGCAGTGGTGCAATCTCAGTTCACTGCAACCTCTGCCTCCAGGTTCAGGCGATTCCCCTGCCTCAGCCTCCCGAGTAGCTGGGACTACAGCCACCACGCCCAGCTAACTTTTGTATGTTCAGTAGAGATCGGGTTTCACCATTTGGCCAGGCTGGCCTCGAACTCCTGACCTCAAGTGATCATCCCGCCTCGGCCTCCCAAAGTGCTGGGATTACAGGCTTGAGCCACCGTGCCTGGCCAAGTCCTGGAGCCTTATACCCACTCGCACAGGAATCGCGACAGCAGTGTCACATACAAGACAACCAAACCTTCAAACTGCAGTCACAGAAAGAAAAATGTAGCCTGGTGATGGCTGGGTGCGGTGGCTCACACCTGTAATCCCAGCACTTTGGGAGGCTGAGGCGGGCAGATCACGAGGTCAGGAGTTTGAGACCAGCCAGGCCAACATGGTGAA